AAAAAAAAAAAAAAAGAAGTGGAGGAGGCTCATTAGAGCCAGTGTCAGGTTTTTGGCACCCAAGACCGATCAGTTGGGTTTTGTCCTGAAATATGAACCATTGGGTTTTTGAATTTTGTTTAATTGTAAAAGTAGCCCAAGCTCATTATGGAAAATTTGGCTAGTGTTTTTTATAAAATCACTGTAAGAGGCCAGGCTCCATGGCTCACACCAGTGCTTTGGGGATCCAAGGCAGGAGAATCACTGGAGGCCTGGAGTTTGAGAACAGGCCTGGCAACAAGCGAGATTACCATTGGCAAAATTTACAAATAAATAAATAAATGAAATAAGGGCTGGGCGCGGTGCCTCACGCTTGTAATCCTAGCAGTCTGAGAGGCTGAGGCCAGTGGATTGTCTGAGTTCACAGGTTCTAGACCAGCCTGAGCCAAAGTAGGACCCCCGTCTCTAAAAATAGCTGGGCGTTATAGCAGGTACCTGTAAGTCCCAGCTACTTGGGAGGCTGAGGCAGGAGAATCGCTTAAGCCCAAAAGTTTGAGGTTGCTGTGAGCTCTGTAAGGGTGACCAAGTGAGACTATCTAAAAAAAAAAAAAAAGGCAGACGTGGTGCCACATACCTGTAGTCACAGCTACTGGGGAGGCAGAGGCAGGAAGATAGCTTGAGTCCAGGAATTTGAGGTTGGTGAGCTATGAATCCCACCTCTGCACTCTAGCCTGGGCCAGAGTAAGACCAGTCTCTAAATCTCACTTCCCAAGACAAGCACTGTCAATATTTTGAATTACTTGCTTCCAGCATGCTTATAGTCACTTTTTTCTTTTTACTCTTGGTAGAGTGCCGTAGCATCATAGCTCACAGCAACCTCTAACTCAACAGGCACTTGTCACATTACCTGGCTATTTTGTTGCTGTTGTTGTCGTTGTTTAGCAGGCCCAGACTGGGTTTGAACCCACCTGCCTGGGTGTATGTGGCTGGTGCCCTAACCACTGATATATGGGCACCAAGCCTATAGGCACTTTTAATGCAATCTAACTGGTACTGTAATAGCCTTGTATCCACTTTAAAAATTACTTGTAAACATTAATGGTTGCTTAAGAACCCATCATATGGACATATCTTCATGTACCTATCCCTCTACTGTTTATTTAGATTTTTTGCTACTAAAGAAATAGCTACCTTTGTCTTCATTTCTGACCTTAGGATCAACTGCCCAATATAGAATTATTGAGTCAAATGTTTTAATTCTTTCAGAGAATGTCTGTCACCCATCCTGGAGAGCATTGTTGCAATCGTAGCTCACAGTAACATCAAATTCCTGGACTTAAACAATCCTCCTGCCTCAGTCTTCCAAGTAGGTAGGACTACAGGAGTGCACTACCACACCTCAATTTTATTTTTGAGACAGAGGCCCAAGCTGGCCTTCAAATGATCTTTTTTTTTTTTGAGACAGAGCCTCAAGCTGTTCCCCTGGGCAGAGTGCCATGGCATCACAGCTCACAGCAACCTCCAACTCCTGGGCTCAAGCG